GCCCCACTCCGCCCGCGCTGGCCGAGAAGCAAAAAGTTGCTGCAGAATCTGCTCCTAGGGTTGATATTGCAGCGTAAGGGCTCGGAACTTCCTGCTTTGCGATCTCCTATGAAACTAATTTGAGTCTCTCTTCTCAGAAAGATCAAAAATTTTGATTTCAATTTAGACTTCAAATTTTCGAAGAAAGCGTCATTAAGTGGTTCGGCCTTAGTTAAAAAATAATAATTGGTAATTGTTTTAATCAATTTCCTACTCTACATCTCTGACTCATTTAGAAGTGGAAGATACGATTCCCTTTTCATTTTTAACATTAAAGTGCAGCTTTTTTCGCAGCAAGGCTTTCCAATAATGATGAAGGGGGTCAATTCACATAAAAATTCCCGTTACAGCATCTGTACGTCGCGACCAAAACAATGCTGCTTCTCGCATGGGTGGAGTTTAGAGTCCCTGCCACCAGAGGGCATGCGGTTCTCTCGATGACAGCTTGTTGGAGAGGAGCCAGGTGTTTTCTTTTTGGAGACGCTGAGATTTGAATATACATTCTGCGCAGCTGTAGTCGTCGTGTGTGTAGCGTAACACGGTAGCGAGCTGGCTAATGAATGGTGCCTGCCAGCTCTTAATGAGAATATTTAAGCGGCCGAGCAAATTGAAAAATTGCTTGTCGATTGGAAGAAATGACAGCGTAGGATATACGAACCGTTATTTTATCCCAACGAACAACAGTATTCGAGAGCATGATAAATCATTCTGGGTTTTCTTTTTTGTCGATCGTGAATATATTTTTGGACAATTTATTAAAATTCTGACGTATGAAACAAAATGGATGATGATTAGGAGGTTCTAACCCGATGTCAAATTTTGACTTGTCAGCTTTGGGATGTCATAATACTTGATTGAAACTCTAAAACACTGCATTACACATTACATAATTTCGACTACATTATGATTATAATGGTAAAGCTCGTAGTTATAGAGGAATAAACTCTCTCTTAAAGAAAACTCTTCACTCCTCTCTCTCATGAGTAAACTACAAACTAGACTCTTTTCATAAACCCCGATTGCGTGCCTCCCGAGCCGATGTCGTTGCGTGCATCTCGCTGCGAATTAGAATCGTTTTTAATTAAATGATTAAACAGTTCCTCATTTTTTATGAAAAACTACCGACTTTCACCAACTGGAATATAAAATGTTTCAGTCGATTCATTATGTTATTTCCGCATTGTTTAGTATCAAGAGAACAAAATTTTCTTTGACAAATTTTGAAAGGATTATATGATCAAAACATTGAAGAAAATTAATGGACCTTTCTCTTTTTTTAAATGAACTGAAAAATGGAACCTAATACCTTTTGCCAGTGCGGTCTTAAAGACTACCAGGATCGCTGGGGACCTGGAACACGATTAATCTAAACTTTTGAAATGTTTGCCATGGGTAGAGACCTGAAACTGAAGAACCAAACATTCATTTTTAGATTGCAAGCACATTTCTATTATTATTTTCAATTAGCACTGATAACTTCTTACAAAGCAAATGCAATATCTTTTTTAAAAAGTTAAATGTATAATGTGCATTATTTCAAGGGTTTGGGCAGTACGAAAGTAAGATACAGCAAGGCTTTCGTTATTTGTAAATTCGATACATTTCAATATTGATCGAAGGGTGCCTCATCTTGCCATTGCCCCATGGCCTTCATAAATATGAACAAGACGTACATTGTAACAAGATAAGCCAAACTCGAGATATTGACATTTACGAATCGCGGGAGCGTTGCTGTGGCTGGTGTGGCGTATCTCGTTGCTGCGCCCTGGGCCTTCCTTCAAAGAGTCCCTCGAGAGGCGGCGGGCGGGCGCGTGGGTGGTGACGCTTGGGGGGCGCGCGTGTTGCAGTTCTGCGTGCACGCGGACAAGCGGCAGATGCTGCAGGAGCTGACGCGCTCGCTGCAGCAGCGGCCGGCGCAGGCGCACGTGCTGTGGGAGCTGGCCGCGTGCATCTGCCAGGCCGTGGCCGCGGACGGCTTCCGCCTCTTCGTGGCGGACCGCGCCAGCCCCGAGGTGCTCGCGCAGTACCTCGGCCTCGACTCCAGGTACCTGCTTGCAACTCTGATGGTAGTGGTTTCGTCGTCGTCGTCGTCGTCGTCACCATCGCACCCACCACAGTCACCGTCATTATCGCCCCCGACCACGACACTGATTGCGTGTCCTACTCCGACACCTATTCCGACCCGTATTTCGGCCATATTTCACCTCCTTTTTTGCCTCTATTTCGCTCCCTTTTCCGACCCTCATTCTAACCACCCCATTTCGACCCAGTTTCCGAACCCGTTCCTGGTTCTGGACCCGATCCTGGTTCCGGACCCGACCCTGGTACCGGACCCGACCCTGGTTCCGAACTCGAACCCTCCCCATTGACACTGCCATCACCGACGCCGACGCGCATTTCGCACTATTTATATTTTACTCCTATTTCTTTTGAATATAAAACCCTTTGCAATTTTTCATTGAATGAAATTAATAACGTCTCCTAAAGCCTGATGACTCCACATATCAACTACTGACCGAAGGGGAATTCTAGCGGCAAGCGTCTCTGATCAGTAGTTTGTTATGGTTTCCCAGATCAATACTAATTGGATGCTGGAGTAATACCTCTAAAACGGGCCACATTTTTTTTCTTTTCCATCCTCACTTCCTCTTTCCCCTTACACCATACACACTTATCTGCACTACATTACCACACGTGTCGGGATATCAGAACTTTTTCTCAGCCAGGACGGTATCCCGTTTGTAAAAATACTTTGGAGTAGTAACCCCCAAGCAGACACATAGGTCAGTACCAAATCTCATGTTCCAGTGGAGAAAGATCACCGCCACCTCCTGAAATATAACATGCACTACTCTTACGAGACTAATGAACATCATAGTTAACGTGCTAGAAAATATTAAATAATAAAGAATTTTGCTACTTTGGCTTTTGGATCAGAAACATCCCCGACAAACGTCATCTTTGGAACGCATGATTCCAACCGAGAACATTTGCCCGAGACTCGGCAACAAAAAAAACTTATTCTGTGGGTTTACGTGTATGTTTGTTTGTTTTTTTTCAGTTTCTGTTCGAACTTAAGTAAGACTCATCATCTTGGGAAGTACACTAAAAACAACACCCCCCAGTAGTAAGCAGGGACAGAATGTAGGTGTTTTTGAAAACTATTGAAACATTTAGAACCTCACTTCATGGAGTACTAGTTGATTCACCAGGGCCAGCATCGGTAGCGTAATTGCTTAACTACGCTCCATGAAGTCGCTGAAGTTCAGCAATTCGAGGCACCACGTGCTCCTAGAAGGGTGACCGTCTGGGAATCCTGGGATCAAACTGCGCAGAGCCCCTGCCCGAAGAGATAAAAGGCAATGACTGACTTCAGCTGACGATGACTGACAAGGCAAATGAAGAATTACTCCACGTTGTTGCAAAAAAACTAACAGAATATTTTTAAAAAAGTGGCCCAAGCCATTTTGTACTACGACGCTTCACACTAATGAAAACATTCACACTAATGAAACAATAAATCAATGAGCCGAAGAGAATGCAACGTACTCGTAGACAGATTTACAACCGGCACGTGGCAGGCCGAGTAGCGCGTCTAGATCGCGCGTAGTTTGCTCTCGTTGGAAGAGTGTGCCTAAGAGGCGCGTGCGGCGCGCGTGGTGTGTTGCAGCGAGGGCGGAGAGCCCAAGGTGCAGCGGCTGTCGTCGGAGGGCGCGCACGGCGCCGAGGTGCCCGCCGGCCCCGCCCACGTGGCGCGCACCAAGGAGCCCCTGCGCCTGTCGCGCGCGGAGCCCGACCCGCGCTTCCCGCACGCCTTCCACGCCAACGTGAGCCACCCGCTCTGCTCGCTTGCTTTCCAGACGTTCTCTCTGTCCGTCTCTTTCTTTCTTTCTTTCTCCCCCCTCTCTCTCTGTCTCTCTCTACCTCTCTTTCTTCCTGTCTCTCTTTCTCCCTCTTGCTCTCTTTCTTCCCATTCCTCTCTTCCTCTTGCTCTCTTTCTCCCTCTTGCTCTCTTTCTCCCTCTTGCTCTCTTTCTCCCTCTTGCTCTCTTTCTCCCTCTTGCTCTCTTTCTCCTTCTTTCTCATTTCTCAACATATTTTTTTCTCTTCACCGACTCTCTTTTTTCAGTTTCTTCGTTTCCTCTAATATTCCTTGCCTCGCGTTTCCACTGTTTGTGCTGTCTCCTCTTCGATTGCCTTGCGTCCTCACGTGGAGCGCCCGGTCCTTTGCAGAGCGACTGCTCGCACGTGCTGTACCAGCCGGTGGTGCAGCCCGATGGGCAGCTGGCAGCCGTGCTGGAGCTGTGGCGGCGGGAGCCCGGGCCGCCCTTCCACGAGGAGGACGAGGAGATCGCCAGCAGCTACCTGGTGTGGGGCGGCATCGCGCTGCACTACGCGCAGCTCTACGTCTCCATGAACAAGCAGCGCACGCTCAACGACTTCCTGCTCGCCGTGGTGAAGTGAGTGCCCGCGCCACCCACGCCAGCGTCGTGTCCATTGCATGCGTAGTGCTAAGGCCCTTCACAGTGCAAACATAAACATAAACATGGTGTTGACGTAAATTACGCCCATAAGCGGACTCATTCGCAATGCCTTCGCGTAAGCGTAACACGTAAGACGTTAACTTACAAGCTCACAAGCTTCAAGCTTCTCTGCTTATGCTTAAGTAAGCAATAATAAATGAACCAATCACAGTACGGTAACTCAAAATCGAGAATTGAAATAGGAGCGGAGTCGATAGACCAACTACGCCATATATTGAGCAATGGACACAGTTGATACCTCAAAATCGATTCTCACATCCAACCAATAGTAAACTAGAATGTCTCACAGCCATTAGAAACTCTTATTTTGCTTACGTTTATATTAGACATTGTGAATACTTCAGTCTATCACTTATATTAATGTTTACGTCTGTGCGTTATGCTTATGTTTCCGTTTGCATTGTGAATTGGCCTTTAGACACTGAATGTTTCTTAAGTAACCGATTAATAGTATTCAATTTTTTGTTTTCCTTGTTCTCAAATGAGTGGTTAATGCTTAGTCGTAAAGGGGAAGTCGCTCACCATAACTCCGAAAATAGTGTTTCATGTCATTCAACACTTATTCTCTTCGAATAAAGAAATGAGGGAAATTTTACACGTTCTGGAAAAATACAACCACTGATCAGAATTATAAACACATGTTTCTGAAAAGTAATTGAAATGTTTGCCAAAATCTGAGCATATATTTTTGTAGTGAACTATATCAGAATATCCTGTAACCCACCATAATGTTTAGCATATAGAGTTACTGATCTTTTTTTTGTAATGGGGCACGTACGTCAGGATGCTCATTGCCTATATGTACCTCGCTAATGTGTTGTAAATCTCCATTGCAAGGATAGATTGTTGCTCTCGCCACAAAACAACGTAATGAACGAATGATAAAGCATGTATGATCATTCAATTAATTTTAAGATAAAATGAATTGTGATTATACTCTAAAATACGTAAAAAAGCAAACGAAAACACACCTAGGTACCTTTTATTTGAAGACCAATATCACAAAATTTGGTCGAGTAGAATATTCAAATTTGTTTATAAACGAAAACTCTATGTCTTTTAAATACCGATACGAAGCAGACTGCTTCTAAAAGAATTTGATAACATATTATTTTGCAACTGTAAATATTGATAATCTAATGATGTAAAATATTAAGTTTTCGTTTTGATACCAGATTGACCATTCCATTCAACAAAAAATGGTAATTTTTTTAAATGAAAGATACTGGGTCCTAAGAGGGATTATTACTAGTTTTATTTAACATGTTTAATAGTAATAACACTAAATTTTAATAATATATTGAAATTAATAGAAAAACGCCTATCTGCCGTCATTTTTTCATTACGTTAAATTTAAGAACCTCCACATTCAATATAGTACGTTGTGTTGGTCGTTTTGCTTGCAAGTTGCAAGCGATATTTTTGATTTCTATTTTCCATATAAGGCTCATATAGTACATTTTTGTAATTTTTTAATAGCATATCATTACATAATTCACTTTTCCAATAAGCCTTTTTTTATACGATCAATCGCATGGATTCTGCTATTTATATTAGAAGCTATAAGCGGGGAAATGTGATAGCCATACATTTTATTTTCATAGGCATGTTAACCTTTACCAAAATCATTTACAGTGACAGCTATTATAATAATAATCATAATAATAGTAATTGTAATAATAGTAGTAATAATAATAGCAATAATAATAGTAGTAGTAATAATAATAATAATAATAATAATAATAATAATAATAATAATGCTTGTTATTTTGGGGTAATAGTACAATTAATGTAATGTTTAATATACTGTCTACATTTAACTTCTTAATAATAACTTCATGTCTTCAAAAGCGTTCTAAGATTAATAAGAATAATTTAAATAAAAGGACAAAATTCCTCTTTTGCATAACAAGTAAAATATAAAATAGTTTTCTCTAAAATGTAAGTTACATTTTGCATATATGTTCACAGGTCAATTTTTCAAGATATGGTGAGCATTGATGCCCTGGTAATGAAGATAATGAACTTCGCACAAAGGCTTGTAGATGCCGACAGGGCATCTTTGTTCCTAGTCGATTCAAAGACTAAAGAACTTTATGCAAGGATATTTGACGTAGGGGTGAGTGACGTGGTGGAAAATGCTGGTGAATTGGTTGATGAAGCAGGCGCAAAGCAGCCTTCTTCGCGAGAAATTAGGTACAGTGTGACTTAAAAGTTCTAGAAACACTTATGTAAAAGTATGATGTATGTAAGTTTGATGTATCGATGTGTATGCGATGTATTACGTAAAATTTCTCATATTTGTGACATTATTTTCTACGTTGTTAACAGGTTCCCGTTAGGTACTGGAATAGCTGGGCAAGTGGCCTTAACAGGTGAAATTCTCAATATAGATGATGCATATTCAGATCCCCGATTTAATCGGATGGTGGACCAATTGACTGGATATCACACTCAATCTATATTGTGCATGCCCATTTTTATTCGAGGTGTAGTTATTGGAGTTGTACAAATGGTCAACAAACATGTGGGGACATTTACCAAAGTAAGTACGTGTTTTAGAAATATGTACAAGTATCTTAATTTATTGTTTCATATCTAAGTTTCGAAAATATAGTGAATTGTAAACTGAAGATTTGTATATTTTGTATGACTTTCAAAATACCTACTTCTTACTATACAAACTATTTCATATGTAAAATTAAAATACAAATTATATTACATTCAACCCCAAAACAATATAAATTAAATCTAACACGGTTTTCTAGAAGATAACGTATTATGATCAATTAGCTATAAGCACTGTAGATGATAACATTCAGTGTCAGTGCTGCGTTGACACAAATGGCCCCTTCTGTAGAATTTCTTAGACAAAATATTTGACTGAAGGTCAACAGCGAACATGATTATGGGTTTATCGCATTGCCATAACTCTCAATTAATTATGAGCGACCCTAAGAGAAAGATATTAGCCTTTAGGACAGATCATCCTCTTGAGTGCAGTCACCTATAAATACTCCGCAAACCATGAACTTTCCAAATCATTAGTGAATTACACAAACACCAGCATCATTAAAATGCAGGAAATTTATGGAGATATGCATGATCTTTTATAGAATGCATGAAAGCCTGAGTATATAATTAAAAACACGTGCTACATGTTTAACAATAAGTTAGTATCCAACTCAACCGTTAATACCAAAGTACACCCAACAATTTTCCAGGAAGTTTCAAGAAATGCGATCAAAAAAAGTTATTTCGTGCCAGAAACCCGACTCGTGGATTTTCACTCAATAACACTAATAAATAACATTCGTTGTCGTTGGAAAAAATCCAATAAGTATTCACATCATTTTATATATTTGGAATACAAGACTGATGTTTCTCAAACGAGTGAAACATTGTATTGACTCACTTAGTGAAAGGTTACCAGAAATCACGTTCCTGCTACCTACTTTCTTCATAACCAATCCTTAGTACATTAGATAATCCTCGCAGTTCTTAGCTTTCGGTATTTGCCTGATCGTCGGCAATGTCATCGTTCTTTTGCTGTCTTCGGATGGTTGCAAGCAGTGTATCCTCCACAATCATAACTGAGAAATGATTTAGTCTGTCCAGTTCCTAAGTTCGGTCCGCCAATGTTCAGTTTCGTAATCAAGCTTCCCCAACTTCTCGAGAAACATTCGGCGGGAGTTGTCTCTTAGTTAAAGACCTGGAGACCTAAAGGACTCCAGCCGATACATCTTCGAACAATGGCACCACGCACAAGGTCAAGAACTTCCAGCTCACATGCACAACACTTTCTCTCCGCTTTCAGGATGAAATGCTCTGCCACCTTTCATTTTCCGCAGCAGAAAGGCAGTGTATCCCTTCCTGCTATCGGTATGAGACCTGTCGCTGCTGTCTGATCATGAATTTTCAATTCCTACTCGTCTGCTTCGCTGCTGTCTGATCAAAATTTCCTTCAGTCTCACAAATACCTCAAGTTGAACACTGTTAAGTGTAATAGATCTTTAGTATTTCAACTCATACAGAGGATACACCATCTTAGAGTAATGTTTCAGAAAAATATGAAAGTATCCGCTGAGATCCATTGAACTTAGCAAATGTAGAAAGTTCTGGATTGCGTGAAACCTTAAATGGTCTTGACGTTTTCTGGTGATGGCCGTACACCTCGCCCTTTCGCGACATTCCCCAACTGTATTATTGGCTGCAGGAATTGACTTTTACACAAATAATATTATAGAGCAGCCTATCATCCGCTTACCTATGTTCCTATGCTTACCTATGTCTCTGGTTCTTCGAACCATTTTGTGATGCAAAACCATTCTTCACTGGAGGAAAGAGTTCACCGAGAAAAGTTCCTAACTTCCAAGTCTTTATCGAGAAATTGTTTAAAAAAAGGTAGTCCTTATTCATTCTGACGACTGCTCCCAGGGCTGTCCCAGATTTTGCCTTGGTGTCCGGAACGAGCCTACTCTATCCCATTGCATCACTGCATCTGTTGTTGCCGACAGTTCTGATTCAATATGAATTGTTCGTATTGCACAGGATTGTCTGTCTCCACACTGCTCCTACTACACCATCACCTCTACTGGCTCTTCCACTTCTATTCCTTCGGTCTTGTTCAAAACTGCTCGGATCGCCTTGTTGGATTCTTATGTCACGTGTTCACGATCAATCTCCCTTAAGGACTTCATTTTTCAGAGCTACTTTCGTCGCCATTTTCACTTGCGATCATTATCTTCGACAAATTTCGGCATGCACATTCTACTATAGCTTGCTTGAAGCCCGACGCCGAAAGAAGTTCCGAGAGGGGAATTCACAGTTCTACTACTTTTAATGCGCGTTAACTACTGGTTTGCGTGCATTGTTCGCCATCGTTACCGCGAGCCATCCTTCTCTTCTGTTAACTTGCCCAACAACTCAACAAGCGCACCATCGAGTCCTCCCAATTTCTAGTGTGATTAAACATTCAAAAGTACTTCGTTCGTGAGGTTTTCACTCGTTTTCGTGCCAAAAATCTCAAACTCGTTTAATTCGATAAAATCTTCCCAATATACGCTACATGTTTGTAATCCGGGAGCTGTTTCAGCGAAATCTGTTATCCGGACAGGCCCCCCAAAATTCTACAAATTCATCGAGCTCAGGTGATGGAAATGCATTTGCTTTTAAAACCGAAGCTCCTTTGATTTTTACAAAAATCAAAGATTTTCGTAGATTTCAACAGGCACTTGTTCGCTCTCTTACAGAATCACATTTAGGTTCATTCACACGTTCATCCTCCAATATGATCGAGTCGAAACTGCTCTTTTCCTCCAACTTATATTTTATATACCCGCCTTGTTCTGTCTAGTTCTCTACACCACACTATCTTTTCACACTTCCATTCAGATTACTTTTGTCCAAACTTTTAATGACCTCCACATTATTTACCTTAGAAAGGAAAGTTGAAATAAAGCATTGATGACCAGGGAGATAAGTGATATAAGTTGTTACACCACGGAAGAATTTGTACAAACTAAATGTTGCAAGTGAATTCATGGGTCTCGAATAATAATTAAGTAATTTTCTTAGTTATGGTTTTACTCTATAACCTTTTAATTAGTATAAACTATTTGTTATTATTATATTATTGTTAAAATTTTAATATTAATTTTTATATTTAATTTTTCTCTAAAAAGGCCTGAAAAAGCTCTGAGACGTCCCTTGAGATAATTCATAACTAATCCAAAATAATCCCTGAGTTTCAAAATGTTCTTTATCAAGTTTAAACCATTGGTTAAACTCCCTTAATCCATTACTGTATGATCAGGGAGAGGGTGAAGGAAGCCATGACTCCCAGATATTTTGAATGGGAAATTTTATTTCCGTATGTATGTTAAATCTGAGGTTTCCTACTTTTTAACCTTTTCAACAATTTGGGAAACTGTTATAAGACATTTAGGAAACATGCTCTCAGTCATCTGGCAACCTTGTAAATGGTTCAACATGCATTCAATAATTGTATTAATTTATTGTGACATTACATTCAATTTTACTCTCTCCTTGCAGTATATTTTAACTACTAGTAAAACATGACAAATGTAAATACCATTTTTAGGTAAACTGTTGGATCCCCTCTTGTATTAGACATCACATCTCTAAGCCTCCATCACATCAAATAATTAGGAGTGGGCATTACAATTTAAAGATTAGTATATGTATACATTGAAAACTAGTTTTAAAATTAATAACAAATCTGTAAATGCAATATTAAAAACTGAAATGTATAGAAACAGTATGTGCTCTGTTGGCCTCTGAAAACACACAAAAATTGGTTTTAATCCTGAAAACTTTAAAGTACGGAACTTAGGATTAAAAAACTACTTTTTCAATGATAATAAATCTCATTAAGATCGCTCTATACAAGCCTCAGTTTTTGTAACAGTTTCTTTAGTCTCCAGAAAGAAAATTATGTTAGTATTATTAATCATGACAGGACTTATATTGAGTGAATGAGTTTCACGAATTTTGCATTCTGTCTGATGTTACAAATGGTGCTAATAATAATCAGATGTAGATAAGTATTTATAATCATCGATTTGATGCTGTTGTTGGGTTTACTCAGTTCCCTTCTCTTTAATGTACTCTTACAATTTTCGAAAATTCAGAATTGAATAAAAATGGGACTTCTGTTTTCTTTGTAAGCGTACTTTACTCAATTTCAGAAAAAAAATAATCCAAGAATTTGGAGACATTTTTGAGAAAATTTTGAAAATATTGAGGGTTTATGTAAAGTACCCCTAAAAATTAGAATATCCATTTCAAAATCGCCATGCTTTAAGTCTGACAAGATCGTCCTGGAAATATAAAATTTGGAGAAAATCATCTGAATGGTTTAGGAGTTGGTAATGTCAACAGCCAGTCAGGTGTTTTTCCATAAACCAATTTTTTGGTATTAAGGACTTGCAAACTTCTGGATTCCATTTAAACAATTACTTTAATTACACGCAAATGCTAAATTGCATTAATGAAAGCAAGTATATTTGCTTTCATTATTGCGCAGTTTATTTTTGCATCATATGAGCAATATTTATCCACTTTTTCTATATCTGGGACCTACGTTTTAAATTTTTCTAACTAAAATTCATGACTTTTATCTGGAAAATTACAATACTTTCTCTTAACTACGCAAGTACATAGAAGGCTAGAAAGTAAAAATCCACTTTCTCAACATAAATATTGTTAGCTATAATTTTATCTAGGTAAAATACAATGATACTTTGCAATATTTCATTTGCAAAGACTTTATAATAATTTGCTTTTGTCTGATGCATTTATATAAAATGTCCTACCATAGTCAATGTGAAGAAAATGTGCAAAAGCCCTATCCTCATTCTCTTTCAGGGTTTTTTTTTCACCCATTTATATTCTTGTTATCCTTTATAGAATCATCAAGCAGTACTAATGAAATTCTAATCATTGTTGTAGGAAGATGAAGAAGCTTTTGAGACATTTGCTGTTTACTGTGGTTTAGCCTTGCATCATGCTAAACTGTATGATAAAATTGCTCGATCAGAGCAGAAGTACAGGGTCGCTTTGGAAGTACTGAGCTATCACAACACATGTTCAGAAGACGAAGTGGAGAAAATGCATGCGCAAGGAATTCCAGACAGCATACCAGGAGTTGACGAGTAAGTAATTTCTCTAAAATGTATTTCTATTTGACTTTCATTTTGTACATTCCTTTTCATTGCATTTATTCTAGTGTGTCATGTTTCAGCTACTACTTTAGTGTTTTTGCACTTGATGATTATGAAAAAGCACGCCATGCAATTTTCATGTTCCAAGATTTGTTTGGTCTGTCACGCTTTGATACTGACAGTGTTATCAGATTTACTTTGACTGTTAAAAAGAATTACAGACGTGTACCATATCATAATTGGACCCATGGATTTGCAGTTGCCAACTCAATGTACAGCATTATCAAACACGCTCCTGGAGTATTTTCACCAAATGAGGTAATTATTTTTCACCCCTTCTAAAAGATAAATTCTGTATTGAAATGCCAGTTTGTAATATCCTTCAAACGTTGCAGTGTTTGGCACTTTTTATTGCGGCTCTGTGTCACGATTTAGACCACCGAGGCAAAAACAATAAGTTTATGTTAGAAACTGAGTCACCACTTGCTGCAATTTACAGCACCTCCACAATGGAACATCATCATTTTAATCAAACTGTCACAATATTACAACAGGTAAATATTTTAATATCTGTCCTTTATGTATACATATAAATAACACTTTTACAATTTTTTTTACACAATTACAATTTTTTGAATGGTGTTTTTATCTTTCTTTTTTCCAGAAGGGTCACAACATCTTCAGTAAATTATCCAATAGTGAATACAAGCAAGTCTTAGGACTCATGAAGCATTGCATTCTAGCCACAGATCTAGCAGTATTTTTTCCAAATAGGGCAAAGGTTAATCAGTTGTTAGCTGATAATTCATTCAATTGGAATAGCAGCAGTCATAGGTAATTTTGACCTATTGTTGAGTCTTTTCTTTTTTTTTTAGTTCCCATTAAAATGTACAGTAAATGCTAAAATGGAAACCTGCCCTTCATATCTAGGTTGTTGCTGCAAGCCATTACAATGACTGCAAGTGACTTATCAGCTAGTGCCAAGCCTTGGGAACTACAAGTTGAGACTGTCAAAGTTATATTTGAAGAATTTTATGAACAGGTAAGAATACAATGTTTGATTTTTCTTTTTGAGAAAATGGTAAAATTTGTTTGAATAATCACATTTCACATACATAATGTTAATATTTTTACAACACTTTTTGTAAAATCTATAGTAAAACAATATTTTAATTGAATGAGAGTGCCAAGTAATTCCTCATCCATGAATATTGAAAGCAGCAGCGAGGCATTTGGTCATCGATAGATACAAGCAATGATCAAACATAATAATAAAATTGTGACTGTTATTGGATAATTAATCAATATATAATCACATTTAACAATATTAGTACTGAAACAGCTGAGAAATAGTCATAAAACAGGAAAAAAATTGCAGAGGAATTGCTAATATTAGGGCCTCCAATTGAGAGCTTGCCACTCATGACGGCGATTCTGTTGCTCAACAGATCACACCGTTTTGTATTATTTTGTACAGCAATATGCAAGGACATCCTCTGGAGGCTAAGATAATATAATTAAGATGGAAAATGCACAGTTTTGTACATAAGGCAATCAAACATCAGGCAGTTGCACATGCAAACCAAATGCACTCAAGGGTCCACATACATAATATTATATTATGTATAATACTACATAATAACATAATACTATATAATATTATTTTTAAATAATTACATAACTCCTACATAAATATTTCAATCAATATTGCCATATAAAAGGAGGGAACAAACAAAAATTCTCAACTTTTTTTAGAGGGGCATGAACCTCAAACCCTTCCCTCGATAAGCCACTGGGCAAACAACACAAATTACCGAGTATATTCCTTGCACTGTTTTCTACAAAATTAAATATTTTTGTGCCGTGAATTATATTTGAGGGGAGTCATCTCTTCAGGGTATTCATATTCCATGACATAGGTGGACCACACAAGACCCACAGAATCTTGAATTCTTGAAGGTTTGTAATTTTCACTTATTCTATCAATTGTTTGAACATTTTTTCTTGTATATGACTCTTAGGGCATCTCTTAGTTTCTTGAATAGATTTTGTAATTAAATTTCATGAAAATTCTGTATTACGAATGTAACATTCTATTTAAATATTTTAAAGGGATAATATAATAATATATGAAATGAGACCTTTATTATAGCTAACCAGAGTAAAACTGATTGCTACAGACAATATTATTCTGTTAATAAAAGGATCTAAGTTTGGTTTTGTGTAACACAAGGTGTTTTATGAACATGATGGTTTTGTGTAACATCATTTATATTTTGTCTCAACACTGCTATTATTTGAGCTACATTCAAAACTATTTTTTGTACTTACTTTTAAGCTCTCATTCTTGACATTTCCTGTTTTATCATTTCATTGACATATTTGTGAACTATGGGGATTCCACAGGGGAGAGCACGTTTAGTTGTTTATTGACACCAAATTTCACAAATTACTGACCACATTTTTGGATCATATTGAATCTTCTTGTGTTCTCAGCCTGAGAAAGAGATATTCTTGTTACTCTCAGTCTCGAAATTCTCATTGAAGTGGCTATGCAAGAAAGAGTTGTGATAATGGAAAATATTAATTTTAATATTTGCTGGAAATACATGATCCTTGATCTTGATGAGCATTTTTGCAACAATTAATATTTCTCTTTCAGGGAGATGCAGAAAGGGCTAACGGTCTTCAGCCTATACCAATGATGGATAGAAATCAACCTGATCAGCAAGCATCTTCCCAGGTTAGTAAACCTATAGCCAAGCAAGGTGAAGTATAAAGTAATGAGCAATGATGACACATTACTCTTCACTTACCCTGACCTACCCACAAAACATGTTTCTTTTGTATTCATTTTTTAATGTTCATCATTCTTTCTAAAGCATCAGGAAGATTCTTATGCCAACTGAGGCAAATGTAGTTGTGGTTATGTTAACTCTAGCTAAATCTAAGTATGTGACACGAATCCCATGGTCACATATTTTTCACATTGGTAAAATTTTCCAAGGTTCAAATAGTATATCTCGATCAAGTTGAGAATGATGTTTACAGGAATGTGCCACTGTCATTGTTTACATCTGAAACAATAGTGATGGAGATATAAGTATACTCAACTCAAATTAAAAATGGTACTGTGCAAAAGTGTGGCGGAAAGAAGCATGATTTATTTCATAAAAAATTTAAGTGTTTCCCAAAGTATATTTTAACTGTATTTGGACATGTCTGCACCTCATATTGGAATAAACAGAAGTTTACTTTTACTCTCTGCAGAATGAATCAAAATTTTGATAGAATTCCTTCGATGAACAGAAAATTGGTACTGTAACATTCATATAAATCTAATAATTTCAAACAAGTAGTTTTTCAGTATGCATATCAAATAAAATTATTTTTGTGAAACAAGTAACTATCACAATAATGAAAAAAATCGAAGGTACTCATGGCAGTGAAATTTTGGTACTTTATTGCATACCTAACCAATTGTGTAAAATCTACTTTAAAAAAATGTGAAGGAAGGAGAATTAAAAATTTTTAAGTCGACAAAAAAGTAATAAAAGTTATTCTGTAATAGAAAAGTAAACACTTTTAAAAAATGCATCTTAACATGACAAAAATAAAATAGCGAGTGCAAATTTAGGAATAATGTGTCTCTGAAGTTATATTTCATCAGCTGATTCCATAGAAGCAGTATCAGTATCTGATGCTGTAAGAGTTTCCTGGCTGATGTCTGAGAGAGTGTCTGTCTCGCTAGATGATTCACTGCCACTTTCCGGGCCAACACATATTTTATTTCAAGGTCATCAACAGCATTTTCAAGCAAAGCATCCCTATCCCAGTATTCTTTTGTTATTTTTTTTGGTACGAGTGTCAAGCTTTCTTCCATTCTTCCATTCTTCTATTGTTATTTTATCAATTGCTTTGGATGTCATTATTTTTAAATTAGTAAGGGACACTTGATACTTGTTTCTTTTGCTCACCTTCATTTTCACTAACACAAAATATAATTACAGGCAGAGGCATCTTGCCTGCCCTCGAAATGTTGTATCTCGAAGAGAACTCTCATTTCCCATAGCTACTCCCATAAACAATTCGCTTCAGCTCCTCGTGACTTTTGTTAGCGAAACTCATTGAACATACCCATGTTTACAATGTTAGTTCCACGACAAGCCGCAATCACTTCCTTCATTCTTCACTTGGTCGAGTTATATTTTAATATTATGGAAACATTACAAATAATGCTAGAAAGTACATGTTTACATGTACATAGAACAATTAGATTTATAGATCTAAAAGCCCTAGCCTTTTAAAGTTTTAGGCCTTTCTTTTTTCAAAATAAATCATTTTTTGAAATTAGATTTTGGAATAAATTATTTTTAAAATTGTATTATAAGAGAAATCTGTTTTTAAAAAAGTACTTTTTTTATTTTAAAATTGTAAAACTTAAAATATAAAATTGTAAAAATCTCCCTTCTTTGTAATTTAGAAAGGATGTTATGTTTAAAGAGTTGGAAACAAAAGAGTTTAAGAAAAGATTAAACGGTTGGTTGACAAATTTATATTTTGTGTCAAAATCATTGCTCTATAAGTTTTAGTTTATTTTGTGAGTCAGTTTTAACCCTCCTACCTTGCTAGATCCTGTCAATATATTTACTTGTTTTAACATTTTACTATTTTTGAGTGTTCCAAAATATGACATTTGTTTTGTTTCATTTTCTTGAAGGTTGGTTTTCTGACTGGCATTTGTTTGCCGTGCTACACCCTGATGGATCAACTTATTCCCAGTACTCGCCCCATGTTGGAACAATGCAAAGCAAACTTGAAGAGATGGCAAGAAATTGATGAATCAACTCGTTTAAAGGAACAGAAAACATGATCTCAATGCTTGGTTTCCATTTCCTTCCAACAATTGCAAATGCGGGTTTTAATGTGGCTTTACTTATTGCATTGGATAGTCTCATTTCATTCTCTGAGAAGGGAATATTAATACCAGAAAGAGAAATGAATTGTTCAGGTCCCTACCAAGGAATAACTTAATTATCTCTAATTGTTTAGTCACATCATTTCTTTAAACTACAATTTAATTTTATTTTCCCCCAGTATTGTAATTTATATGTTAATTTTTATGATGTCAGAAGAAAGAAATTGTACACTGTGTGTACTTTTTGCAGTAATAAATGTTAAAATGTACAGATTTAATTATGAAAGCTGAAGGGAGATGACAAGTTTGGAAATATTTCTATTACTGACCAAAAGTAAGCATGTTTTATTGTTTTAATTAAATTATTACTTTAATGATAAAGCATATGTGATGCTGAGTCTAGTTCTTGAGTACTTAGCAAAACTATTCAACATATTTGTGGCTGCATTAATTCTTTGCACCATCTCTTTACTAAGTGCATATTTCAAGGAACACCATTGCGTAGTCATGTGTTGATGGTAAAAAGTATATACAAACATTCCACTTATGTGTTTACACTAGTCAGTTTCTGTACTGCACATTTTAAGTAGATGACAAGTGAAAATAGAATTATTTTTCCTTCAATAGATTGATATTAGAAACATGTTATTTATGTTATTTTCATTATATATATTTGACTGATTTAATATTATAATTGTTATATTGTTTATTGACTTTCAAATTCACAATTTCAGAATTCAGAATTGTATCTCATTGCATTAAAATCTCTCACTTTACTTTTCTATCTTAGATGAGATAACGTCAGTATTCTGTCAAAGATGGTGATTTCCTTCAAATGAATATAGGTAATGTATTAAATGCACAGTTTAAATTGTTGTGACTATCATAAGTGCCATTAAATTTAAAGATCTGCTGCTTTTCTTTAAAGTAAATTTTCATTTAAGAAAAGTTGTTGAATTTTTTGTTAACAATAGATGCATACCAATTTTTGTTAACAATGAGAAGGCGGCTTAAAAATTTTGAGTCCACGGTTTTCCAAGTTTCACGTTGGCATCCTAATGAACTCTACAATTTTATGTGAAACTCAGCTCTTCCAGCAAGTATTTCACCCTTTGTAGGCTACTTATGCACTACTCATAAAATGAATAAACAAAAGCCACATTCCCAGTATTATTTATATTTTATATGAGTTAAAAGAAACACTTGAGCATATGTTTTGAAGGAGAATAAAACAAACAAAAGTATTTTTGCCCTTGTCCGGTGTTAACAGCTGAATATTTTGGACTGTTCATGACACTTCGTTAACTTTCACTTAAGACTTCTGAGTATCACAGCACTGAATTCAGAAGACAATGACTTCGATTAAAAGATGTTGTATTAAAATAAATGAGTAAAATAGCAATAGTTGCTAAAGATTAATAAAATGATTATTTAGCATCATTTAAATTCAATTGTAATATAGAATATGTTACATAATACCCTCCTCCTTTTCTTGCTTTGATATCACAGACAATATTTTTATAGAATAGTATGAGAGAAAATTATTTTGATCATCTATTCTTGTCGTCCGATCCGTCTTAAATATAAGTTTAGAAAAATTTGTAGATCGCTATTTATGTTAAATAAAAGCAACAGATCTATATTGTTAATCTCACATTTTTTTATAACTCTGCTGTTATGTTTCATAGACCTTTAAATTTCACTTTTGGATTTAAGTATAATATTTAATTTTATTGAATGTTCCCTGTGGTGATGTCAGATAATTGGCATGGAAGTAATTCTTGAATGACATGATAAGAAGAAAATTTGATCAAAAGAACTGACATATATTTTCATAAATATTTTGTATTGTGTATATTTCTGACATATCACGCACCTCTCCATTTCTACTATTAGTGCTTAAATTACGCAAAAAATCATAATTCATTGTATTATAATTTCAATGTGTTTTTGACTTATTAATGGCACTGCTAAGTAATGAAAATAAGCTATGTAAAATATTTGAGCTTTGTGTGAGTCTGAGTTGTGCTGTCAACTTATGTATTGCCCTTTTATACTCCTTTGTATGTGTCAATGGAATTTCTACCTCAGTGTATTGACTCCTATGAAAGAAAAGAAGAATCTTTTTCTAAAGGAGATATATTTTTCATAATTAATATACAGTATTTCTCATAACAATGATATGCCTTTGTAGGTGTCATAAATTGTGGTCAAATCAGATATGGCTTAATATAGTATTTTAACTACCTTAGTGAAAATGTAATAAAGAGTTGTCAGATTTAATTATTTTATTGATGTTATTGTATTATAAAATGATTATTGTAGGAAAGAATGTTTCTGAAAGTAATGTAATAAAATTCAGTGTAATTATATCAATGTGAAAAGATGAAAGAGAATTTTTTTTGTTCTTAATTCCTATTTATGCTCTGCCTTGGAGGAGCTCTTTTTTAATATTTGAATATTTTATTATCAGAATGTCCCCTTTAATGAATCAGCATTATTATTTTAATGTGATCAAAGTGCAATTAGTATTGTATTTTTCTGTTTCAGAAGTAATACTTTTTGCCAACTGAACAATGAACGGCAAATAACATTTAGCAGGGAAGCCTAGTAATCTCTTGCTTCTGAAGATGATCTTTAATCATTTGTATTTTAAATGATTTATTGATGATGCCAATTTACAGAGAAACTCAATTAGAAACATATAATAAAAATAAAATTTTAATATTCTCATAACTTTCTAAACTTACCTGTGTCTTGTTGGTTTGTTAATGAAGGTTTTCATTGAAAGATATGTTTATGAAGTAAAGTAAATTAAGTAAAATTAGAAGAGCTAAAACATATAAGGTGTTATTCCATTATAATGCCCTTGTAGATATCTGTAAACAAGCATATTACTATGCTTGTTTAAATTTTAAATTAACTCTTTTTCACTCCCTATTGAAGCACACTGCAGTACACGTCAGTGCATTTCCTGACAGTTATGCAGAGAAGGCTCTCATATACAACTTTCTCCATCTTCTATTCTCTTTCTTTCCATTTAACAAGTCACCCTCACTCTTTTATCACCCTATTTTCTTCATCACTAGTCTTCTAGGTATCTGTTTGGCGACTCAAATGTTTGCTGTGTAAAGCGTTCCATCAGAAACAATGGAATACTAGGGGTTTGGGGGATCTATGCATACTCATTTGCAAGCTTCCTTGACATGAATTCTTGTGGGAAAACTATAACTTACTGTGTTTGTTATGTGAACCCAGGCAAGTCCTAGTGACTGAAAGGAGGTGTATACTATGTACCTCAATACACTATCTTGGCCCTGGCAGTAGCAGTTTTTAGGAGAGGAAAGGAAAAAATACTCCTAATATATCTTCTTCTTCCTCTTTTTCCTTTGCCTTTTCTTTTTCTGTATGTAAGTAACAAATAATATGTTTCCTTTGATGTTTGAGGGAAAATTAATATTTTTTTTAATGACAGCAGTGAAGAAATTTCTTTTCATCGACTTTTAACGATTTTAAACCAAAATCAATCGAAATCACTTTGAGGAAAGGATAGCCTTTCCTCCTCCAATAGCAGTTCGTGTGACATCTTCACAAATACTGTATGTCATCCACCGATTGAAACACCTAACTTTCTGGCCACAGAATTCTCTTCACAGTGGCCCCACACAGTCTCAGGCCCCTAACCCTCATCGTCGACACTACAGGAAGTCATCGGCGACACACCGGAAGGTCCTGGATTCCAGTCTCGACAGTGGCAGGGTTTTGGACACTAGCTAGATATTTAGATCGAGTTCATTCGGTGCTTGGAGGAATATCTAGCGGCCGGATGCTCTGATAGGTAGTTTTCCATGGTTTCTCCGATTAAAACCAGGCGAATGCCGGAGCAGTATTCTAACAAGGAACGGACCATGGACCGCGCGCGATCTTTCCTTTCTTTGTCCTATCCCGTAATTACACCTACACTCACATGCACTACACTACCACACTTGTCGGAAGGTTATAGAGTTTGCCTCGGCTGGGGTGGTGCCCCGCTGGTGGGAGATACCTGGTTGAGGAAAATTCCCACAAGCCCACATAGGTCGGCGCCGGTTCTTGCCAGCCAGCGGGGGAGGGGGGAGATCACGGCTACATCTCACGATGAAAACGTGCACTACACTTACGGGAATAGCGGCCTTATCCGTTGATCATCAATCTTAGCCGGAATCATCAATCAACATCTTATATCGCCCATGTCGCGTAACGCGCTGATCGGGTCACCTTCAACTCTTGCAGTTTCTGGAGCTCGTCGAGCAATCGCATCTCCAGGTCGTGCGGCGCGTACCGTAAGGGCATGTACCGAACGTGGATTGAGCTTCTCTGGCAAAATACAAGCGCACTGATGCTTCTTTGAACAGCCCCAACTGTTAGCCGTCGTCTTGAAAAGCCGGGTGAACAAAGTTCGGTAGTCTTGTCCATCCCTGACCTCGCAGTGCATTTTGACCGGTCGTCGACAAACCCAAATCTCTGAATCATTTCCGAGGCTGCGTGGATCTGGCACCCGTCCACTACCCCAAGGAGTAAACAGCTTGTGCCCCGAAACTCCAGTCTCACCTGCGTGACTCCCACTATGAGCAGGCTCCAGTTGAGGTAGTCATCCGACGACTACCCCACATGCGTGTCCAGTGCGGCTGACTCTGGCGGCCACCTGTGCCGAAAGGTTTCCTGATGCATCACTGTCACTGCTGGCATCGAATCAATTTCCATGGTGTGCACTTGACCGTCGTTGATGCATACAGCCACCACGAGAGCCGAGGATACGGGCATCTGTACTTCCCATTCTGCTCCAACGACGAACAAATGGTGTCGATGTGGAGAGTGCGGGCTACACAAAGGCTGGTATGTTGCATCCGCAGACGGACTTCCCTGCCTGTTGGACACCACTTGAACTGCATGAGAAGGGCCTGGTGCCCCGTGAGCGCGTCCGTGTTCTCTCATTTGGTCTTCTGGATCCATTCGGCATTCTGCCACCGTGTGGTCGCCCGTGTATCGGAAGCACTTATCCCGTGTCTGCTGTGGAACCCCTGCCCAACGAGCTAGAATATAGTAGATAATGTCTGCCTCTAGAGTTTTAGCTGGTGACAGCTCGCCGAACTAGTGTCTGTCATGTTTTTTGAAGTCAATACATAGGAGTGGCGATGTAACCGTCCGTAACCGGCACCAAACGTAATGTTATACTGTGATTTTCGCAACTCTTCCCCTGGCAGGTATCAGTTGTTGATAGTTTCATCCAATCGGGAGCTTAAACGTCACCATAGTCATCACTATGATGACGTTTAAGCTCCCGATTGGGTGAAACCGTGAACAGCTGAGATCTGCCAGGGGCAGAGTTGCATTAATCGCAGTATATAATACTTTGTTTCCCAGAGTGCGCTGCTTTGACTGCAAAAAACATGGCTTCAATTTGCTTCAAAGATGGAGACGTTTCAGCCACAATATGTAGTAGTAGTAGTAGTAGTAGTAGTAATAATAATAATAATAATAATAATAATAATAATAATAATAATAATAATAATAATAATAATAATAATAATAAATATTAAAACAATACATATCAATTCTGTTAGCAACTACATAGGATTTAACAATATTAGTACATTCTATATTTAAAACTTGAAATGGTGAGGAGGAGGAGGCTCGTTTCGATCAGTTTTTTTCTTTTTTTCTTCTTTGAATTTGTACACGCAGTACTGCTGCTGCACCTAATGCGACTGGCGAATCCAGAAAGAAACAGAATATTTTGTTTTTGTCAGGAATTCTCCTTCTATGTCACAGGATGCGATATGCTAGTTCTTTTCTCTTTGCTTCAGCTCCAAACAGTTAACATCAAACAGAAAGTCTAATGGGATAAGAAATTCTTATTCATTTATATTTTTTAAAGGAAATATTGTTGTGCTTTGAATATTCCTTTACACTGTAGAACATGTTGTTAGGCAGGAAAGCTTTTAATTTACTTTTAAATGTAAGAATTGTGTTTGTGTGTTTCATATCATTGCCTAGTGTGTTGTAAAGTGTAATGCCCTCTATTAGGGTACTATTTTGATAAAGTGTAGTTTCAGAGGGGGGAACATGAATATTCTAGCTCGTTGACCCTGCCACTTCCCGGATCTTGGACGTGCTCTCTACAGAAAATAAATGAAAGTGAGAAAGAATCCTAATGTGAAAGTGTAATAACACCGAGTGATAACAGTGCTCCTCAGAATAGGAATTATTGTCCGAATATTATTTATAATATTTATCGTCCAATTGATAGCTAGCGGCTGGCAGGAGGACAGGGTTCCGTTTTCCAATCAGAGGCTTCAAATTATGAAGATGCGACAGCAGAGTTGCCGATGTATATTAAGAACAAAATACACAACACAGCGCAAAGTAACCGAAAATTAAAGAGCGCCATTTAGCACCATTACTTGTTTGGCTACAGGTCGATCTACTACTTGCGATCTACTACTTGCAACTACGGCTATTGTTGTGATGTAATCCAAGAATGACCACGCGTTTGCCGCCCGAATATGTAGCAATATCTCTCTACCCCACCCCTGTCAAATAGGAATGTTATGCGGACAAATAGTTCGATTTATTTAGTCGCTCACTTGACCTAAATCAGCTATTGCGATTTCATCCAATCGGGAGCTTATAAGTCGCTACAGTGACGTCACTATGGGGACGTTCAAGTTCCCGATTGGATGAAACTGCGAACAGCTGATTTACGTCAAGTGCGTGGTTAAATAAATCCTAGTATAGATGTTTTTGGCGCCGCCTGCCATATGGTAGTCCCTTATAGCGGCGCTTATCTCTCAACCGCAACTTGTTGCCCTCCCGCCGTCTAGTACGGGAATGCGGTGTCTGCCCTCAACTCCTGCACGTGTTTAAACGCTGTCTCCTCACAGGTCTCTGTCTTCCCAAATTCCTTAAGTTTGAGGTCGGCTCGTTGCAGTAGCCTTGTGCGCACGGACGATCATATTATCCAGCACTGTCGTCAGTCTGCCGCCAACCCCAAGTCGGC